TTAGCATTGTTTAAGTATATAGCCTATACATCCTTAAACTGTAAAACGATTAGAATGAATAGACATACGCCTGTGAGATATTGTTTCATAATGGTAATGTTTCGATATGAGTCTGGATATCCAATTAATCGTTTCATGAACACTAATTTATCTAAAATTATTTCTCTTATCGTATCGTCCATCCATGGTGAGTTTTTAATTTCATATTCGACTTCCTTTTGTATGTCATCGACCATATCTAACGCCTTTAATAAAATCAAGTAATTATAATATTATTTTAAATTAATTTATTACTATTGTCTTGTAATCATTTTTACCGATCGTAAAATTTTGTCCGCGAAGTACCGTTTTACATACTCATATCCTAACATGGTATTGGCCTTTATTTCGTAAAGGCAATAAAAGAACCTGTTAAAAAGTGTTAATTTCTAAATCCTTTAAATATAGCGTAAAATATTTATTTTATATGATACTACATACCGCCGATGATCTTTTACTTCCTGACCATACCAATTGTAATAAAGAGCTCTCATTTCTTTCGTACTGGCTTTTAGAATTTCACTAAGGAACTTCCAATGTACGTAATTTACTACATAGATAAAAATGTCGATATAATTTTTATTAAGCAGTTAGATTAGATTTATTTGATTATGAAATTGTTAAAAGACTTCATATATACCAATTGTTCTACTTGGAGTGGTGTTTAATAAAATGAACAATTTCTTGAAATAATTGTAGTTCGGAACTATCACATCATTATTTTCATCAATTTCCATTCCTCCATAGGAAAACAGATCTTGTACTTTTCTTAACCAGTTTACCTAAAACTCATTCAGTATTTTCAGTAAATATTAATCATGCTCGTAATTTTTTGAAAATATATCTTACCTTGCTATTGTTTGTCTGCGGTGCAAGTGTATCATACTTATTTTGAAATTCTTTTAGCGTTAAGTTCATTCGGTTTCCAGCCCTGAATGTGCACTGTACAAATAATCGTAATTAAGCAATAATAATTTCATGATTTGGATTTACATTACAATACGTAATAATTAAAATTCGTGTGTTACCTTCAGAAGGTCTACTTGAAATTTAACTAGATCAGCGATGTCTTTCGTTAGTTTCTCCTTTGATATTAAAATTCCCCTTGCTTCAGAAAGAGCGCTGCTAACATTGAAGATGAACTCCGCATATTTTTTTCTCATTTCCTCTGCCGATCTTCTCGCCGCTTTTATTCCGTACTTATCATCATCATCGTCATCATCATCGTTTCCATTACCTTCACCGCTACCATCATTATCTCTTTCGTCCTCCTGCTCATCATCATCATTTGTATCATCGTCATCGTTTCCACTACCCTCGCCGCTATCATCATTATCTCTTTCCTCCTCCTCCTCATCGTCATCATCATTTCCACTACCCTTGCCGCTACCATCGTTATCGAAGTTCAATTCATTATCCTCATCATCAATATAGTTAGATAAATACACGCGATCTCTCTCATTTTCGTCAGTACCAATTTCATCTTTATTTTTATTCATTCCCTCGTCAAAATACAAGTCTATATCCTGACTCCAGCTTTTTTTGCTATTTAATTTACTCTCTTCAACAGAGTTTTTACTCTTGTCTTTATATACCAATTTATATTCAAAAGATTTCTTAGCCAATTTTTTTATATCACGATCTATCCCTTTATTAGTTTCTAATGTCGATTGCTTCTTTTTGGACATTTTTGTTCTATATTTCTTCTTTTTCATCTGTTGTTGGCCGGCATGTTTTATTGTTACTGGGTTCTTCGAACTTTGCGGTCTTCTATTACGAGTTATAGGATTATTGATTCTTCTCCTTATCTGTATCTTGTATTCACCTTCATCGTCCTCAGTATCTTCTCCAGATCCATCATAGTCGTCACTATTTTTGCCCGATCCTTCGCGGTTTCTACGTTCGTTACTACCGCGTTCCTGACTTCCTTCACCACTATCATTATTTTCATCGCTACTATCTAGATCTACAGGTTCTTCATAAAGAAGCCTATATCCTCCAGGTGGTAGATGAGGATGCCTGATCTACACAATATCAAATTATGTTAACGTTTATGTCTGCCATAGGACAGTTAAATTTATAATCGCGCTAATGTTATACTTGTAGAAATTCCAAGTCCATATCTTCCCCCACATATTCGTAATCGATGTCAACGCTTGTGTCGTGAAAACTATTGTCTCCTGTCAAAACAGTATAATAATCATCGACGTTTTGCCAACTATACATTTTCTCATCCCATTCATTTTCCCCCATTATTAACGGCCATCCACCTACGCTCCACATCGTTGATATGAGTGGTTGCAGCCCTTGCTTGTCCATTTTATCTGTAAATAATTTCACTTTCAATTTCTACTCTCTTCTATTAACATTAAAAGTGTTGCAAGTTCGTTAGATAAATTTTTAGATTGTTGAATAGATTCTGCTGATACCTGTATCTAAGCAAGCATTAAGTGCTAGTTTGGCAACCTTTACAGCATGATAATCTTCCTCTTTAGGCCCTTCTTTGGCAATAGCTATAAATGAAAACACGTAAACTGACGTTATCAGTCTTGCTTTTTGTAATTTGGATTTGACATCGTTAATTTCAGTCCAGAATGTATAATTATGCAACTACTTTAAATATAAGAGTGATTAAACCTATAAGACGATCATTGACTAATTTTTGGAGCTTATAGAATAAACTCCAATGTATTTCGTCCTTCGGAAGAGGATTATGTCGCGCCCAATTGCCGCATGCATATTCGTAGAAATCTTCACACGGGTCTGCCGTTTGATTCATGCTTTCTATCAACAACTTTGCTGTCCGTTTAAAAAAAGAATTTTAATGAAACATAGTCGTCTATNAATTAAATATCGCCTAATTAATTAATTTATGTCGTGCAATCAGATTTATTTTTTCACAAAATGTCTTGAATTATCTCTAAGAATAGTTTACGGATTACTTTTTGCGCGCTTAGTACAAATCGGAGTAGATGTTGTGTGAATTCGAATGGCAGGATAATTATTACAGGCGTACGGTTTGCCGCCGGTTTTTGCCGCCGTTTTTATTGACGATTGCATCGCATTTTGATCGTCAATTTCCTCTGACTCAATATCGGTGCACACATCACGGAGAAACGGTAGCATCGCATCGCATTAGATGCGCCAACATCCGAGCGAAAGGGCTGCGCAATCTTATTTTTCATCCGCGTACGGATAACGTGCACCGCCGGGCTCTAGGATGCAGTCCAATCTGAAAATATATTGCAGAAATGTACGATGTTAACAACGTTGCCGCATAGACGACGGTGGAATAGTTAGGCGATTGGATATCCGTGACAGGAGAGAGTAAATCCGAGCAGTAGCTCGGTTACTCGATCGTTCCTATACTGCCACGAATAAGCGAAACAAAATTCATTGATCGGAGATTGACGACTACGTGTGATAATCGAATTTATTCGTAATTTAGAAGACCTTAACTGGCAACTTGACCTATGCCTGTTTCCTTAAAGAGGCAACGTACATCTCCAAACAAGGGATTAAGGAAAGATCATTCGTATTGTTACTGCGAGATGTATGGGACTTCCTTTTTCGTATCTTTATTCGTTTTCTTTTGTCTGATTTTTTGTTCTTTTTATATGTTGAAATTTGAATCGTAATTAGGATTAAGATTAAAATAAGGTTCGATTAGTATTTTCTTTACCTGAGAATAAAAAAGTAAATGTTCGTAAAAGGGAAGAAGATTTAGAAAGGATTTACGCAATAGCTTAAATAAATAATATATTAAAATTATTATTAAGTTTCATTTTGTATTTATTACATTTCCATTATTCTTAGAACAGATTCTTAATACACGGATTTTTAGTTGATTAACGCATTGGACGCAACTCTCTGCGTTCTGTGAATGTGAATGTAAAAGTGAGGTAACGCAACGAAGAAGAGTAGGTAAAAGGTTCGTAATCGCAATCGGCATCCTTCGAAACGGACCACGTGCAAATATGAAAGTCCTTGTAGGAAACGACGAGCGCAAAGAGAGCATTGTAAAAGTATTATTGTGCGATTGAAACTCGGAATTAAATCGGTTAGTAAAATAGTAGTGAATGTGACATGATCTGAATTTGCTGGAGTTCACAGGCTAGTAGGAAATCAGAGGAAATATTTCTCAATTTTAAATAACAAAAGATATAACATTAGAGCAGAAACTATGACATTAGTATTAATTTCAAATACACCGCTTGTCTTTTCTAATTCTGAGTAGAGATGATGTTCAAAATCAATAATCGTGATTTTGCACGGTGATCACGAAATCACAATCACCATCTATGATTATAGTCAATTACACGACCGTGATTGCGATTGTGTACAGTGAGTTGTGTACGAAACTTGAGAAACGTTCAAGAAGGATTCATCTAAGGCAGGTATGTCTAACTCATTAACCACCGAGGGCTATATTAAATCGCAGGCCGCAAAACAAAAAATGGAGATGAAAATGAAGCATAATTTTTATTATAAACAAACCAATACGTACAAAATAGTAATACACAGATTATGAATATATTAAAAATTACATATTTATTTAAATAAAATATTATTTAATATAATATATTATTGTTTTACGTCGCACGACATAATATAATATATTATTTAAATAAAATAATATCATCTTTTTTTTCGAAAGATACTTGGGAACGTTTTTCATTAACCAAATCTTCGAAATTTGGTTGAATTTATTGAACAGTTTCGGTGTACTATATCCACTGAGCTTTATAGTGCTACAGGTCAATGACCTACTTCGCGTAGGACCGGAAACCGGAACATAACCGGAACCATCCATCTTACAGTCTTGCCTTTGCCTTGCCTTGCATTTCTCTCGGACCGCTGTCGCAGCTACATCTCCCTATAGGAGTTCACACTTCGCACTCCAGTTACGATAAAGCTCGATGCATTTACTTTATTCACATTTAAATAGAATTAACAGATGTAATAATACAAT